TCTCTTGTCTCACCTGCTGCTCCCCTCAGCAGTGCATTTCAGCCATTCTTCCTGTTCTGTCCCCCACTCTGTCTCTGGTGAATCTTCTCAGTCCCCACATCTCTGGCCTGTACCCCAGCTCTCGTATTCATAAATAAATAAATATTTAAAATAAATAAATAAAATAAAATATACCATCCAGAATAGGCAAAGTATTCCAAACCCTTATAATACTCCCCGAACACACTAAAAGACTTCATTAAACAAAGTATAGGAATCTTTTTTGACACCCCAAACTAACTAGTATGCAATTGGAGGTACCCCTTCAAATATCCCCATATGTAAGCTTACCTCCCATAGGGCAGAAAAAACATGGATGTAAAATATGCAGTCTAAATTAAAAAAAAAAATGGTCCATGTTGTCAAAGGGACATGATACCTTGTTTCATCTAAATTACATAAAGTTGATTTAAGGCCATTGTAAGAAACCTATGTGCAAAGACATAACAAGTCAAAAGAGAAGGATATATTTTAAAAAAGGTCAAAATCTGTTTTTGAAATAAGACATAGATAAACATTCCACAACGATGTAAACCTATAGAAAAAATTATACTTTTACACCAGTTCAATAAGATGGAATCAAAACTCATTTAACAGAAGGAAAAAAAAAATACTGAGATAAAATAGGAGGCGAAGTGGGTTGAAACAAATTGAATAGAAAATATATTATAGTTACAAACAACAATACAAATGTCACTTAAATTCCCTGAAGAAAACCAAACAAAGGGTCAAAGAAAGTTTACAAGCAACACTTGAAAACTAACCATAGTCTTTCAGAGAGGAAGCAGGCAGGAGATGGCAAAAGCAGTGGAATGGAGAGAGAACACAAAGGACTATGGTGGAGAACTATGGACACTTAGGTGGAAGGGAGTGCAAGGGTGACTACACCTGAGTGGGGAAATCCTATACTGTCAAAATATTAATATGGATGAGGTCTCCCTGATGGCTCAAGGGGTTTAACATTGCACTGTGAAGTTATCCGCAGCCTCTACAGCATGAATTCTATCCCCAGCCAGCCAGGGAGCTACCCACATGGTGCAGCAGACCTCTCCTGACTTGCCCACTGCTCCCCTCAGCAGTGCATTTCAGTCAGTCTGACTGTTCTGCTCCCTACTCTGTCTCTCATGAATGCTCTCACCCCCACCCCGCACCTCTGGCCTGTACCCCAGTTCCTGTACGCATAAATAAATAAATCTTCAAAAAATTATATTAGCAAGGATGTAATACTTGCTTCAATAATAGTAATTTTTATTTATTTATTTATTTCTAAAGATTTATTTATTTATTTGTTTGTTTGTTTGTTTGTTTATTTATTTATACAAGCACTGGGTACCGTCAGAAGCGCGGGAGGGTGAGAGAATTCACCAGAGCCAGAGCCGGGAGCAGAGCAGGCAGAAGGACCGAGTACACTGCTGAGGGGAACAGCAGGCGGCAGGAGAGGTCTGTGTGCCATGTGGGCTGGGGAGCAGCCGGGGATCGAACCGGTGCTGCAGAGGCTGTGGGCAGCTTCGCAACCCAGCGCTCAACTGCTGCACCACTGGGGAGGCCCAATAATGGTAATTTTTAAATGTAATATTTTATCTGTAATGTTTTATCTGTAAAATAAATTAACTGTAAAAATCAAATTCAATACAAAGAAAAACATCTATTTCAAAAATAACAAAAACTAAAAATGATAAATAAAACCTGAAAATTTCCTCTGCAATCCTGAAGTAAGAGTTATAAAAGTACCTCATTAAGAAGAAGATGACACAAGGAGGAAACAAAGAATTACATCTGTAACTTCAAAGAAAATTGAAAGAATTGTCCAAATTGAGGCATCAGTTGCGAAGATTGAAAAGCAAGAGTTCAAGCTACAGCTGACAGTGGTGGACACACCCACACTGGGCTACTGGAAAGCCATGTAAGATAACCATCTCCTGCTTTGATGAGTAGTTTTAATGGCACCTTCATCAGGAAAATAGTTTCAACACATCTTTCTGTTTATCAAATGAAACAATTATCTAATGAGATAGATGTTCATATTTAAAAAAACATTTTTAAAAAGATAGGCGATTAGTAAGTTTTTTTTTTTTTTTAAGATTTATTTATTTATTTATACAAGCACTGGGTACAGTCAGAAGCTTGGGAGAGTAAGAGAATTCACCAGAGCCAGAGGGGAGAGCAGAAGGCAGATTGACAAAGTACGAAGTACACTGCTGAGGGGAGCAGCGGGCGGCAGGAGAGGTCTGCGCGCCATGTGGGACCCTTCTCGGTGGCCAGGGATCGAACCAGCACTGCAGAGGCTGCGGGCAGCTTTGCAGTCCAGCGTTCAAACGTTGCGCCACAGAGGAGGTGCTGATTAGAAAGTTTTAAGAAGTCTCTGATTTAGAAGTTAGGTTATTTTTTAAACCCCTATGAAGAGAACTGTGGTACCTACTTCTTGCGTTCTCCATTGGTTCTGCTCTAGAAAGAATCAATGTATCCTGAGCTCTGGTTTTGATACTGCAACTAAGTGTCTTACGTCACAGCAGAGTCAATACACTGGTTTTACTCAACTATCAATAAATTTAAAAATACCTTTATAAAAAGATTAAAAATTGATCTGTTCAGAAACCAACCCTTTTACATTTTTATGCTGCCCTTTAATGTCTTTTCTCTAACTGCAGGAGTATAAGAGCTGTCTCAGCTGTGGCAATTGCATTCCTGTGGTGGGTGGGCCCAGAGCAAGACCCGAAAGCCTGCCTGTAGTGCCAGGAAGGCACAGAGCTGGTTCTCTATGATCTGAGCAGGCGAGTAAAGGAGATTTCTGTAGCCCTCGGTGGCTTTTTCAGGCTTTTATTGAGCTTTTACATGTAGTGCAGCAACCAGGTACATGCAGGCAGAGATGCAGGGGGACCGGGAGCCAACAGGCCATTAGGCCTCCAGAACCCAGGTGAATTTTCACTCTTTACTGCGCTCTCTAGCATTCTCTCCTGCCTCTGCTTCTCTTGGTGAATATAAATACTGCACCCATGGCCCACAAAAGTAAACAATACAACTGAATATAACAATGTAACAAAATCCTGGTGCACAACATCAGGCATGCATTCAGGACTGCAGGGATCCATCATCAATCCTAATGGTGGGAGGGCAGAAAAGCCTGACAGTCATTTACCCTACACTGCCCCAAGTCTAAAGTACCTTCTGACAGGGACCCATAGAAAAGAGTCAAACACAGTCATACAAGCCTGGGAGGAAAAGAGCAAAATCAAAATCAAGATAAAAGCTGCCATTGTTACCTTCCCCACGGGTCTCTCACCACATCTGCTTCAACCAGTCCAGGACAAAAAAGCAAGAGCAGTTTCTTCACATGTCTCTCTGCTCCATGTGTCTCCTCCAGGTGGTCTCCTGGCTCTCCTTCTTCCTTCCTTCCCCAGTCTCCTCTTCAGCTTCTTCTCCCTGCTCAGCTCCAAGGGCCTTGGGTGGGGCAGGGAACCTGGAACCTCCCTTTTTCCTGAGGACCACCCTGTTATATAGATACTTAAAAAAGTGAGAAAAGCTAGAACATCTACTCTTTAACAATAAGGTTAGCAAAGAGATTACTATTGCCTGGGCATTGTTAGGGAGGTAACACAGAGAGGTCTCTAGGGTAATTTTTTTTTAATGTTTATGCATTTATGCACACAAGAACTGGGGCCAGAGCGGGGGTGGGGGGAGAGGAAGAGGTGAGAGGGTTCACCAGAGACAGAGTGGGGAACAGAACAGGCAGACTGACTGAAATACACTGCTGAGGGGATCACGGGCGAGACAGGAGAGGTCTGCTGCGCCATGTGGGTATGGGTATGCTCCCTGGCAAGGGATTGAACTCGTGCTGCAGAGGCTGCGGACAGCTCCACAGTGCTCCTTCCTAACCTCTTGCACCACCAGGGAGGCCTGCTAGGGTAGCTTCTTGTTCCATATACTGAATATGCAGAGGTTCACATCAGGAAAATTCATCCACTGTACACTTTGCTTTTTTGTCCTTTTTTTATGTAGGCTATAATTTAGTAAAATGTTTGCTTGAACTAATGTTTTATAATGAAATAGTTCATATTGATGTTGAAGCAATAGAAAAATGGCTTCTCTCATCCATAATCATATTACAATTTTATGGACATAGTAGCCATAGCAGTAGAGAAAAGAATCAGTAAGATAAAACATTAAAAGGGAGAAGACAACAAGAATCATTATTTGAAATTGATGTAGTTTTATACTTCGAAAATAGAAAATAAATTGGAAGAACTACTGGGAATAATAATAAAGAATGATGCTAAGTACAAAATTAGTATATAATAAGAGCTTTTTGTATATAACTTACAAAATAAAATAAAAAAAACTAAAAAAAAGAGATACCACTTAAAATATCAGCATAAATCTATAATAAGAATAATTTTAACTATAATTTATAGAACATGTTTAAGAATAAAATAAGACTTCATGTGCTGACACACTCCATTAATAAACATCATGGGAATAGGTGTTGCCTACAGCTCACATTAGACAGCTTACATTATGTGGATTTTGCTCATAAAAACTTGTAGTTTAGGTTTTGACTATACTTGTCCTTCAGGATATTTCTCAGACTTCTTCACCCTGATACTATAAACTGATTTTGCAAATATTGAAAGTTAATTCTAAGGCATTCTGAGTGAAGCACAATTAAGGGTGCTAACTTTCCACAAGAAACAACATTATAATGCCAAATATGAATGATTTCTGACACACTTATCCCTCTCCTACTTCCATTCAGGAGCAGAGGCTATTAAGAGTTGTCTGCAGATACAAAACATTCATCCACAGCCTTTTGTCATCCTTCCTCTCTCTCCCTATGGAGTCTAGTGTTGAAGTTCTAGAACCTGGGGTAAAAGGAAAGTAAGACAGTCATAGCCCAACAGGGAAGCAATTGTGACACAGGGCTTTAAAATATCTGCTTACTTTGAGAAAATGGCTGTGGAGTGAACTCTCTCCATTCTGGAGAACATGTCAGAAATATCTGCTTATTATTGGTTTTTAAGTATGCCTGAGAACTCAGTTATCTTTTACTTATAAATGAATGTCTCTAAGGGATCTAAATAAATAAAATGTCATTAAATCATATATAAATATTACAGTAACATATAAGTAATTATGTTTGGTGACAGAGGGTGAAGGAGCTAAAAGTTAAAGATTTTGAAAATGTTCCCTAGTGAAAAATAGATGTGTGATTTTTAGAAAAAACTGAAAAGTTTTGAAAATACTGGTATGGTAAATGTTAACCATCAATCAACTGTACAGTGTTAAATATTTTATTTAATGGCATCAATTTTCATTTAATTTTTTAAATCAAGGTGTAAGGGAAATGAGTAAATCAGGCTATTTTTTGCATTTTACATAACAGAGAGCCCATAACTTGAAATGCTATGTTTTCCACCATTTGGGTTCTAGCAAACAATAGATGAGCCTTACATTTGGAACACTGTGTCATTTGTGTGGCTATGGGCACTTAATAGTGTAAAGGGGGCTGGGCAGTGGAGTTGCTGTTCTGCCTCTCTCAATGTTGGAATCTCTGTTGCTCTGTCTGCCAGTGTGCATGGTCGCCTGTATCAGCATTGAAGGACTGCAAAATCCACCAAAGGCTCCAAATTTTCTTATCATCTTCCAGAACTGACAGTGAACCTGGCGGGCTTGGGATGTTTGCAAGACACAAGGTATAATCTCTACTCTTCTTAAATAATTAATGGGTTAACACATTACTTGATATTTAAAATGTTACATAATAGGGCCTCCCTGGTGGTGCAGGCGGTTGAGCACAGAGCTGTGAAGCTGTCCGCAGCCTATGCAGTGTGGGTTTGAGCCAGCTGGCTGTGGAGATACCTACATGGCGTGGCAGACCTCTTCTGTCTCCCCTGTTGCTCCCTTTAGCAATGTATTTCAGTCAGACTGCCTGTTCTGCTCCACACTCTGTCTCTGGTGAATCCTCTCACCCTCCCGCACATCTGGCCTGTATCCCGGTTCTTGTACGTATAAATAAATGTTTAAAAAATAAAAAAATAAATAAAATGTTGAATAATAGTTAATTTTGAAGGTTATTCTGGGTGTTGGTATATTAATTTTATCTGATATATTCACATACTTTTAAACAATTTTACTTATAAAGTAAAAATTTTCCAATGTAAACCAATAACTGTTAAGAAATATGAGAATAAAATTAATTTGGGGTGAGAGGAAATGATATTCACAAGAAAGTAAATTCCATTTTTTTTAAAGAGTAGGTTTTTGAGTAATTATCCTGGATAATTGATTTATAAATTAAATGTGTAGATTAAAAAGATTATTATTATTGTGGGTTCATTTCTATTTCATATTTTAAAAGTGTATATGTAAGTATAGTTACATGAAGTATTTATGGCAGTCCCATATGTTTATGTATTATTTAAGAGCACAATCTCCAGTGCAGATGGTTGAATATATTGCTACAATTTTCTGTGATTAACGGGAATGAATTTGCTATTCTAAATTTCTTCTAATTTTTCGCCACTTACATCTTTTGAATTCTTTATTTTCTCATAGGGAATCTTGACTACCATTCCCATGTGAATGTGAGAATAAATTTTTATTGTATACATTATACATTTTTTCTTTTTTTTTAATGATCTATTTATTTATACATACAAGAACTGGGGTACAGGCCAGAGGTGTGGGGGGTGAGAATTCTCCTGAGACAGAGTGGGGAACAGAACAGGCAGACTGACTGAAATACACTGCTGAGGGGAGTGGTGGATGAGTGAGGAGAGGTCTGCTGCACCATGTGGGTAGCTCCCTGGCCACGGATGGAACTTGTGCTGCAGTGGCTGCAGATAGCTTTATAGTGCTGCATCTTAACCCCTTGCACTACCAGGGAGACCCCTATATATTTTTTCTTATGTTTAAATTTTCACAATCTATGTTTCCTATGAGAAAAATAAATAGTATCTTAGAAAAAGAACACTGTGGAAGAGAAACATAACAACGTTGAAATGGTCCACTGCAAAGTCCAGAAGTCTTGGAAAAACTCATGATTTTCAGAATTCTCATCCAAAGCTACTTTTTATAGCTTCTATGGTACATAAACAAACCCTTAGTATGCTCAATTGAAATTGCACTACTAACACTTTTCTCAAAAATGGTGGAATAGAAATGATGAAAAAGATCAGAAAAAAGGATAAAAATAGAAAAAAAAAGTTCCATAGCATGTTAATACGTGTTGGGTATCATTTTATAAATTAGATTATTTTTTAATTCATAATTGTGTGGCCTTCCTGGAGTACATAGGTATGGTGCCTTCAAGACATGGGAGGATCAGATGGACAACTTTAAAACTTATCTTAATGTGGTTTCCAGTATTTCCAAGGGATAGCCCATAAAAAAGTAACTTTAAGTTAGAATATTTCTTTATATATGAAACATGATATATGCAATTTTTGTTTTTAAATATTGATTTATCTTATACTACAAGTTGTCTTATACTTCTGAAGTTGAATTTGGCAAAATGTGATTTCTAATTGGGATTCTAATAGAAGCTAATGTGAAACTGTATAAAGGTGCATGGTATAGTAGGAAGAGTACTGTAATACAGGCAAGTGGTAACACTAAGACAATTATTAATCCAGAAATATCACCAATAGTCTTGTGATTAACTATCTAGACTTCCCTGTACCTCCTGGACCTGAAAATGAAGAAATTCTCCCTCCTCCTACATGTTACCACATTCCTTGCTTTCCTGTATAATCTACCTTCACTTGTCACTCTAGAAAGCAGTCTTCTTGAATGTTGGCTCTGCTATTCTCCCAACATGGTACCACTTGCAAATAAAATATTTCCTTTATTAAAATAATTCCTTGGCTAAGAGTCAGACATTCTGAACACCAGCTATATGACCAGGTTATGTCAGTAAAAACACCAGATTTCAGAGAAAGAATTTATTGAAGATCAGCTAGCAAAGAGGCAAGAGAAAATTCAAATGTTCCCCCCCCCCTTAGTAGAGAATAGGGTTTCATTAGGTTTGATGATAGGGGTTGAGAACAGAGATGTTAAATGTTATTGACTGAAGAGCAACTTAAGAACAAAATATAAACTTGACTGAAGTTCACTGGGCTAGTTACAGGTCAGTCCATACACTGAGAATTATAAAATTTTTTTTTTTTCCTGGAAGAAAAAAAGATAACTAGAGTTTTAAATTTCCACTGGTGGCCCCCTCTGTAAATAGCTTCCCTCCCATGTGTCAACTGGTTTGGGGCAAATCAGCTCAGGATCATGGTGACTGTGCAGGCCCAGACTGTGTGATTTGCTGTTTGTGGAAGCAAGCCTCAACAAAAAGTTTAGATTTTTTTTTTTTATTCTTTAAGGGGTAATCAATTTAACACCTTAACCTTGATTTTAATGGGAAACCTTGCACATTCAGCATCAAGTTGCCCATCAAGGAAAAGGAGAATGGAGTCTAATGTTGAAGTTCTAGAATTCTACTTAATCAGCAGCTGTAATTATTAAATCTCATTATTTGAGAACTAAAAAACATCAAAAATGGAACAGTATTAACATTTAGTATTTTGTTTTAGCAGGTTTATCAGACTTTCTTCCTGTGAAAAAGTTAAGGGAGATACCATGTCCCCCATCCCTATTAGCTATTAGGATATATGGGTGGAGCTAAGTGGCCAGATGAAGCTATATAACAGAGAAGGCAGGTGGGCTAAGTGGAAGACTCTCACTTCTGTGGCCCAGCTCACATCTTGGTACTGCTAGGAAGGAGATGTGGAAGGAGACAATGGATGTGAGACATGTACCGATAATTAGAAGAGACACATTTGTGAGAAACACATGGGAAAACTGACAATAGCAGCTGTTTTCTTGATGTGATATTGTAAGGTAGGTAAAAGGTATCAGGCTTTTCTGCCCTCCCGCCATTAGGATAGATGAGGGAACCCTGTGGTCCTGAATGCATGCCTGATGGCGGGCACCTGAAGTGGGTACACCTGGGCTGAGAGACTGGACTTTTAAGGGCGGCGTCACAGGGATGCCAGCAGCAGCAGAAGCCGAAGTAGAAGCCAAGAAGCTGAGAACGAAGCCAAGAAGCTGAGAGAGAAGCAAGAGAAGCAGAAGCTGGGAGAAGGCCGGAGAGCCCAGATAGAGTGAAGACTTGCTGGGGGCTGGGAGGCCTGCTAGCCTCCCGGCCCCCCAGCACCCCTGCCTGCGGTGTACTGGGTAAATCCCAATAAAAAGACCTGCAAAAAGCCAATAAGGACTCTGACTCCTCCTTTACCTGGTCTGTTGGATCAGGAAACCTGCACTGTGGTCTTCCTGACCCTACAGATATCTTCTTTGTCCTAAATTTTTTGAAACTCCTTTTCTATGTTCCCTGCCAGAAAGTACCTTTGAAATGTGGCAAGCTTTTGGACTTCAGTGGTCTCACTGCAGGCCAACACTATTTGGTTTGGTTAGGCATTTACATTTGGGGTGTTTTATTGGCCAAAATATTCTTTCTTCTCTCTCTGCTGTAGTGGCAGGAAGGACCACAGCAGGATCTCTATGACCTCAGCAGATGGGGTAAAGGAGTCGTCCTGGAGCCCTCGGTGGCCTTTTCAGGCTTTGACTGGGATTTACCAGGTACATGGCAGGCAGGGGTGCTGAGGGGCCAGGAGGCTGGCAGGCCTCTGTAGGGTAAGGTAAAAAGTATCAGGCTTTTCTGCCTTCCCGCCATTGGGATAGATGACGGAACCCTGTGGTCCTGAATGCATGCCTAATGGCGGGCACCTGGAGTAGGGTGTGGGCCAAGGTAGATGGGATTCACCTGGGCTAAGACTGGGCTTTTAAAGTGCGGCATCATGGGGACGCCGACAGAAGCTGAGAGAACGAAGAAGCAGAAGAAGCAGCAGAGAAGCATGAAGAACCACGAGAGGAGCAGAGATCACGGGAGAGCCTAGATAGAGTGAAGACTTTCTGGAGGCCTGCCAGCTTCCCAGCTGTAGGGTCAGGAATGACCACTGAGCAGGTTTTCTGATCCCATGCAGACCGGGTGAAGGAAGAGTCAGAGTCCTCAGCGGTTTTTTGCAGGTCTTTTATTGGGGTTTACCAGGGGTGCTGGGGGGCCGGGAGGCTGGCAGGCCTCCCAGCCACCAGCAAGTCTTCACACTATCTGGGCTCTCCGGTGTTCTCTGCTTCTCTCTCGGCTTCTGCTGCTGCCTTCTCAGCTTCTCTTTCGGCTTTCTACTGGCGTCCCCGTGACACTGCCCTTAAAAGCACAGTCTTGGCCCAGGTGTACCCACTTCAGGTGGCCGCCATCAGGCATGCATTCAGGATCACAGGGTTCCCTCATCTATCCTGATGGCGGGAGGGCAGAAAAGCCTGATTTTTTACCTTACCCTACACCGGTCCCCGGACACCCCTGCCTGCTGTGTACCTGGTAAATCCCAATAAAAACCTGAAAAGCCACTGAGAGCTCCAGGACTCCTCCTTTACCCCATCTGCTTGATCATAGAAAACCTGCTCAGTGTCCATTCCTGCCCCCTACACCTCCCATCCCCTGACAAATCTTCACTCTTTCTGGGCTCTCTGGCGTTCTCTCATGGCCTCTGCTTCTCTGCTTGTTTGCTTTCTCACTTGTTCTCATTCTGCTGTTTCCATTCCACTCTTGCACTCTGCTGTTTCACTGGCATCACGTGACACAGCCCTTATA